CGGTCCCTCAACGGCTTTAGACAAAACAGAGCAAGGGTTAGTAGAGATTGAGGGTTAGGGTTCGGGTTAGGGTTAGGGTTACCTTCAAAGTCAGAGCACCAGAGTCGTCGGCGAGGTTGACGAGGCACGGATCCGGCGAGCATAGACGACGAGGGATGGATCCAGCGAGGAAACCGACGGATCCGGAGAGGAAACCGATGGATCCGGCGAGGTCGACGATGGATCCAACGAGGACGAAGCGAGATCAAGGGTTAGGGTTAGGGATTGTGCCAGTGCCGGCCAGCGGTGGCTCCAGAGGCCACCGAAGAGCGAGACGAAGAGAGGAAGTCGGAGGCCAGAGATCCGACGGTCCGATGGGAGCGAGGCCGGAGATCCAACGGATCCGGCGAGGTCGACGACGGATCCGGTGAGGACGAAGCGAGATCAAGGGTTAGGGTTGGGGATTGAGCATGGGTTAGGGTTAGGGATTGTGCCAATGCCGGCCAGCGGTGGCTCCAGAGGCCACCGGAGAGCGAGAAGAAGAGAGGAAGTCGGAGGCGGGAGAGGAGAGCGAGTCGCCGATGCGGCGACGCCGACTCGCTGAGAGAGGAGAGCGAGGCAAGAGAGTAGCGGAGCGGGCGAGACGGCGCTGCGGGGGAGAGCCGAGAGCGAGGCGACTGAGAGCAAATGAATTAGGGCAACGGAGACGCGGCCGGCCGGCCGGGATGGGAGGTTTTATACCCCCGATTCCAATGGTCGAATCCAACGGTCCGATGGGAGCGAGGCCGGGGATCCAACGGCCACCTGCGGCCGAGCCGTGCCGCTGCCGGGCCGGCCCATATAGCGTGTCGTGCCCGGGCCGGCACTACGGGCCAGAATGGCGGCCCAGGCACTGACACAAAGGCCGTCGGGTCGGGCCATTCCTGGGCCGTGCTGATTCGTGTCGTGCTTGGGCCGGCCCGTAGTGCCCGGGCCAAATGGGCAACTATACCGGTGTGGCAAAGGTGACGGAGATCATATGTGACAACGGAGTGGCCTTGTGGAGCTTCATGGCCGCGAGGGGCGTATGCGAAGGCAAGCGGTAAGAAAAAAAAATCTGGCACAGAAAAAGAGGACACGGATGTAGAGAGTCGTGTGTGTGTATATATATATATATATATATATATATATATATATATATATATATATATATATATATATATATATATATATATATATATATATATATATCTGGCTACAGAATACCATAGCCGGATCGAAACTCGTGAGACCAGCGCACCAACCCACCCACCCTGGTCCGTCCACTGACCCACCACTCATGCCATGCATGGCTTTGACTCGATGTGGTCCCCTTCTTTAATGTAATTAATACACCCATGCATGCAATGATTCAATTCAGAACGCCCATGGGTGGCTGCTTCCCCTAAATTAGGTCGTTACTCCTACTTTTACGCGCTCAGAAATCAATGTGCCGTTATGGTAACTAGACTATGGTATGATTATGTGGTTAATAATTTTGTTAGTTCATTTGCATGTTAATGTTGCTCACTTTGGTAAATCAGCCTCGCTAGGAAACGAAGGACGTCAAATTATGGTAACTCATCTTTTATAGTAACTACACAAATTATAGTAAACTACACAGTACCATGATGCCAAATTATAGTAACTCGATCTGATTCATGTGTACGCTAATTCACTTGTATACAGGTATACGCTAATTCATGTATTCTCGTAACCACTCGTTGCAATATCTTGCATGCACACACACACGGCAGATCCGAAATCATAGTGATCACAGTGCACTAATTATGTGAATTAAATTTAATTACCATTAATGATTGTGGCTGTCGGGGCTCATAACTGCTCGGCTCAGACAATCTAATGCTTCCTTGTGTGAATACACAGTAAAGAAAGACGGCGTTGAAAAGGCTCCCTGCTATGGTACTGTAACCGCTGTAGAAGGCAGGCGTCGAACGGCTCACCTGTCGTAATGTAGCTACAGTAGGGATAGGCGTAGAAGTTAGTCCTGCTGTATTATCTAGTCAGTGTAGCGACATAGCAACTATACTAGGACTAGATGTATATAGTTATATAAATAGTTTGCCACTGCAACTCAGTAAAGAGAGTTCAAATTTGTCATCTCCTATACAGAGCTTCGGCCAACGCTGGTGCTTGTACTGTGTGTGTGCTCTGTTCACCCTCTCTTCTTCTACCTCTAGCCATAGTGTGTGCTCGGACAACATCTGTCGTGCTCGGTCGTGGTCGGCGAACTGGTGAGTGGTCGACTCACCTGAGCCGGTGATCTTGTGGGCTAACAAGTAGTATCGGTGCCAAGCAAGCGCCGTCGCAGGACTAACCGCTGGCGATGACGGACGGTTCAGAGATGGGCGACAACAGTGCCACTATTGTGGCTACCCAACCACGACAGCAGGTCGTTGTTCGCACGCTGCGGGAGGTCAGCGGCACTAGTTGGCCGACGCTGACTTGCACCAACTATGAAGAGTGCTCAATGACCATAAAGGTCAACTCAGAGCCCGATGGCTCTGGAATGCTGTTGACAAGGGCACCGACAATGAGGAAGATGACATGTCAGCGTTGGAGGCTATCCTCGCTGCTGTACCGACGGAGTACAGAGAGTCGTTGGGGGCGAAGAGCTTTGCTAAGGAGGCATGGGAGGCTATTGCAGCGATGCGCGTCGGTTCCGACCGCGCAAAGAAGGCAACGGCCCAGCTTCTAAAGCAGGAGTACGCCAACCTCAAGTTCAAGGATGGTGAATCGATGGAGGACTTCTCCCTCCGCCTGTAGATGCTCTTTAGCAAGCTGAAGAGCCACGGCATCACCATCGACGAAGAGGAGGCGGTCTCCAAGTACCTCCACTCCATGCCACAAAGTACATCCAGATCGTTCTCTCTATATAGACGATGCTGGACTTGTCCACCCTCACCATTGAGGATGTGACAGGCCGTCTGCGGGCGGTGGATGAGCGCCTAGAATAGGCGACAGCAACGAAGGACAGCGGCAAACTGCTGCTGATAGAGGAGTGGGCTGCTCGGAGAAAGTCCGGGATAGCCTCCTCCAGCCGCGGTGACGATGGCAAGCACCACGGCAAGGCTTCTTCGAAGAAGAAGAAGCGGGTCGACCCCAACGCCTGCCGGCGCTGCGGGAAGACGGGCCATTGGGCATGGGAGTGCCCAAATCGCAAGCAGGAGAAGAAGGCTGAGGCTCATCTGGCGCAAGCTGATGATGATGATGAGGCCACTATCTTGATGGCGCTGTTCTGTGCACTGCACAACGTCGAGGCTGTGGAGAAGGGAGAGGTGACGACGGTAGAAGGACCTGGGAAGGCCCTAAAAGTTGTCAACCTCGACGAACCACGCGCCCAAGTCCAGCTCAGATGTGTGGGCGGCGAGCAGGAGCAGCGGTGGTATCTGGACTCTGGTGCCAGCAACCACATGATGGGCTCCAAGGTAGCCTTCTCTGAGCTCGACAACGATGTTACCGGTACGGTGAAGTTTGGTGACGGCTCAAGGGTGCCTATCCGAGGGCGCGACACCATTATTTTTAGGTGCCAGAACAGGGAGCACCACGCGCTAACGGATGTATATTATATCCCGCAGCTACGTTCAAGCATCATCAGCATTGGCCAGCTAGATGAGCACAGTAGCGAGGTACTGATCAAGGACAGAGTCCTCAGGATCAGAGACTGGGAACAACGACTTCTTGCCAAGGTGAAGAGGTCCCTGAACCGGTTGTACCTGCTCGACCTGAAGGTAGAGCAGCCGGTGTGCCTAGCAGCAAGGCACACCGAGGAACCATGGCTGTGGCATGACCGGTTTAGACATCTCAGCTTCGACACGCTTGGTCGGCTGGAGAAGATGGTCCAAGGGCTATCCCACATCAAGCACGGAGGCGAGCTGTGTGATAGCTGCCTGGCTGGGAAGCAGAGAAGGCTGTCATTGCCAAAGGTAGCCAAGTATCGTGCGGAATATGCTCTCGAGCTCATCCACGGTGACCTCTGCGGGCCGATCACGCCAGCCACAAACGGTGGTCGGCTGTACTTCCTCCTGCTCATGGATGATTGCAGTCGCTACATATAGATGCAACTCCTGATGAGCAAGGATGAAGCGGCAGCGGCGATCAAGAAGTTCAAGATGCGCGCGGAGGCCGAGAGCGGCAAGAAGCTCCGTGTGTTGAGGACTGATCACGGTGGCGAATTCACTTTGGTGGAGTTCGCTGCGTACTGTGCGGATCAGGGTGTGGTGCGACACCACACCACGCCGTACTCGCCACAATAGAATGGCATGGTGGAGTGACGGAACCAGACGGTGGTCGGCATACCTCGATCCATGATGAAGGCCAAAGGCATGCCGGCAAGGTTCTGGGGTGAGGCGGTGACCACGGCGGTGTTCATCCTCAACCACGCTCCCTCTCTTCTTCTACCTCTAGCTATAGTGTATTAGTGTGTAGTCGGACAACGTCTGTTGTGCTCGCCGCCGTGGCCGGTGAGACTGGTGAGTGATCGACTCACCTGAGCCAGTGATCTTGTGGGCTAATAGATAGTTCACCTGCGTCTGTTATGAGCTAGAGATGCCCTGAATCATTGCATGCGGAGGCCAGACTAGGGCGGGTCAGATGACTCGGCTACAGAATGGGTCGCCTCCTCCCTCACAGACGGCCGTGGCTGCTTCTCCCCCACGGCGTCGTAACCGGTAGCCGCGGCTGCTCCTACCCCGTGCACCCCCGCCTCGCTCGGATGCAGTTCGGCGTCGGCGTGGCTCCACCCGCACGCACGGGGCTCCTCGATAGTGACGCAGCCCGCCTCGCTCGGAAGGCGGCTGCGACTGCTTCTCCCCCACTGTGGCGTAACCGGCGGCCGCGGCTGCTGCTCCCCTGTGCGCCCCTGCCTCACGCGGATGCGGTCCGGCATCGGCTCGGCTCGACCCTCGTGCACGGGCTCCCGGGCAGCGACGCAGCCCGCCTCGCTCGGATGGCGGCCCCGGCGGAGGAGCGACCGCATCGTGTCATGGACGAAGAGGACCTAGCCGAGCTGCACGAGGAACAGGTTGGCACCATAGCCGGCGATGCCGCCTGTCGGAGTGTCGGAGCAGAGGCACTAGCGGCGTCGCTGTTGCTGCTGTGCACGATGCCTCCGTGCACCACAGGTGGCCTCTCGCCACCATCGAGCTTTCCACGTCGTTCGTGCTGCTATCGTACGTCGCCGACCGGTTCATGCTCCCCTGCGCCTGCGCAAACCTCCTGGAGGAGCCGAGGGAGTCGTCGTCGCCGCCGGTGGCCCCGTCCTTGCTGACCGCGGCCGACGCTCCGGCCACCGATCTCCCGCTCCCACCATTCTTCTCCCCGGCGTTGCACCGGCGCTGCTTTGGCATGCCACCGCCAGAGTAGAAGGTGTCGTCGATGCGGAGGCGGCCGAAGACGTCGCCCACGGCGCAGCCCAGACGTCCACCGGCGTTGAGCACGGCGGCGGCCACACTGGAGAGCTGCTGCTTCTGGGGCGGCGGCAGGAGCGGGACGGGGAGGAATGTGGCGAAGCGGCGTGCGAGGTCATCGGCCGCGGCGGTCATAATTTAGAATTCTTGTAAATATTATTTGTTAAAATTCTAGTAAATATTGTTAGTATTGTTGTAAACAAAATTCTCCAGAATTCTCGTAAACATGATGTAACTTATGTTGACGTTATGGTACTACTTTCGATCATTCTTGTTAGTTTTTTTCGTCAGCCATAATAAAAAATTCTCGTAAATACTTAAATTCATAGTACCCATTTTATCGTAAATACCAATGTAAGTTATGTCAATGGAGAGTTCATAAAATAGAACTGTCGTAAATATTATTTTTAGAGTTCAAATTATCGTAAATATTATTAGTGCATGTTAAGGGTCGCAAATATAAATTTCTGTATTAGTTTCACTACTACACAAAATCTTTTACGCAGCATTTCCAAAATGGCCTCGGAGGCGGGCGGCCCGGTTGCCCACCTCGGTTATTCGAGGCAGGGCAGCCGGGCCAGCGACCGCCTCGTTTAATGCTTAACCTAGGCAGGCATTGTAACGTAACTGCCTCGGTTAATATCGATTAACCGAGGCAGTTGTCCTAACTCAACCGTCTCAGTTAATATATTTACCGAGGTGGTCGCCTTAAAACAACCGCCTTGGTTAAGACGACCGCCTCTGGCCCGCCTCCTAAAATACTAGCCCAATATCAGCCCATCTCAGTCCATCTTGGGCCAACAGGAACATCACAGTATATATATGAGATGATGAAACCCTAGCCCATCCTCAACTCCTCCCTCCGACACCCACTTGGCCGTCTCTCTCCCTCCCTCCAACCCTCTCCCACTCGGCCCCTCTCTCTCCCTCCCTCCGACCCTCTCCCACTCGACCTCGCAGATCAAAGGAGGGCGGCCTCGCTCGGTGGGTGCGGCCTCGCGGGTGCAGCCTCGAGCGGGCGCGGCGTGCGCGGCCTCCCTTGCGCAGCTTCCTCTCCTTCCCTCACTCGGCTTCCTCTCTGGCCAGGGGCGGTTCCTGGCGGGTGCGGCATGTATCCTGTGCGGGGCGACGCGGATCCGACGGGATGGAGCCACCACAGTGCGGATCCGGCTGAGAGGTGGCCTCCGGCGGCGGATCCGCGGATCTGGCGGTTAGGAGCCCTCCAGCAGCGGGCTCCATGGCGAGCAACGTGGCGGCGGCTCCTCCTGGATCCGACATCGGACGGCCGGATATCGGCTGTCCAGCGAGGATGCTGTCACCGATGAGCAGATGCGGAGGCCCGTGGATGGGCTCGGCGGGCTTATCCACGGGTTTTCCTTTTTTTGTTTTTTAATCGATTTACTGAGGCGGACATCCAACCGCCTCAAAAAATACTCCATTTACCATGACCTTTATGCCGAGGCGGTTGTGATGCCCGCCTCGGTTAATCGTTTTTACCTGCCTCGGTAAAAATTGCTATTGTAGTGTTTTTTTTTTATTTTCTGAAAATAATCAAATTTCTCATCGTAGATGTGCGTAAATAAAAATATGGCCTCCGTGCAACGCACGGGCATGTATCTTGTAAAATATAAAAACTTTGAATAAATTTTGTGGGTCTTAAATGATTTCAAACAAAAAAAGTTGTCAACTACAAAGTTATGGTTCTCTTCTAGTAATCAACTTGGTATAAAATTTATCTTCATCTGACTTGATTCGAAAAAGTTATGAATTCTACTGTGTTATCTATTTTTAGATACGGACCAAACTGCCAACTGCCTATAAAAATACCTCCATTCCTTATGGTGGTTAGAAAGACGAGTCCCCTTAAAATGACATTTTTAGAGGGGGTTTAGTTATCATCCACCTCTAAAATATAGAGCAATTCTAGAGACCTGAAAATCGATTTCTAGAAGTAAACCGGCAGAAACTACTTTTAGAGACAGATTTTAATAGAGCTACCTCTACTTAAGAAGTGAGACACCTCTAAAAATGATTTCCATGCTGGTGCTTATTGAAAATTTTAACGATGTCAAAATACTGCAGTTAACATTGTAACATAGTAGCACATATCCTTGCATCACGAAGGGCTGTTCCGATGTGTCAAAACCCTGGTGTAGCTTCAGCCCATGAGTATCGAAAAGCCAGCGATCTAGCTTGTACAACCCACAGATTGAGGTTTGTCTCTAAGCGCCTCAAATTTATCATATAGACAAATATAAAGAGAGGTCATACAACCCATAAACAGGGGTCCGTCTCTAAGCTATTTAATGCTTTACATGTAGCTAGGATCTACAATGAGTACACCCTTTTATTGTGAATAAGAACAACATGATACCAAATAAAACATGCCATATAGGAAGATCCCGAGTTGCCACTGCTTCAAGGATCATAGTAGCAAAGCTCTGTTCATATTAAAAAAATGATTTTTTTTTATTTTTAACACTTTTTGTAAACTAATTTTAAATCTAACATTGTTTAATTTTTTTTCCAAAACTAACACTTTTGGCCGCGCCTATTGCCATGGCGCGGCGAAACGCCTGTGCCACGCCATGCATGGTGGCGCGGCGAGAGGGATGACGTGGCGACGACCGGGGCGCTGACCGTTGACGTGGCAGGGTTTGCCGCGCCACCGATCTTGGCGCGGCAGTGATGCGCCCTGATCGGTGGCGTAGCAGAGCCGGCTAAAAGAGCCGCGGCCCAATCCCGCCTGCCTGCCGCGCCTGCCTGCCGCGCGTGGCCGCTGCCTCGCCTGCCCGCTGTGTCACGCCGCCTGCGCCGCATGCGGCCACTCTCGCCGCGCCGCACGCCGCGCCCGCACATGCCCGCCACGCCGTCCGCGCCACGAACGCCGGCGCGCCATGGCTGCCGGCCGCCCGCTGTGTCTATCGCGCCCTCCCGCCACGCACGGCGGCTGCCCGCCGTGCCACGGACGCCCACCGCACCCACCACCGCCCTCACTGCAGGGCCCGCGACTGCCACCGCCACCCTCACTACCACGCTGTACACCGCTCCCAACTGCCGCACGCCCTTCTCTCTATCCCGTGTCCACCCGCCGTCGCCGCCGAGGCCAGCGCCCGCGCCTCCCGGCCCGGTCTAGCGCGCCGCCGCCGCGAGGACGAGCGCCGCTGCCACGAGGTACTCCCCTAGTGTATTTGTTGATTGAATCAACATTGTTAGTATAGTAAGTTAGTAAAATAAATAAAGTTAGTATAATTAGTAAAGTATAGTTAGTATAGTTAGTAAAGTTAGTTTAGTTAGTATAGGCAATATAGTAAGTTAGTATAGATAGTAAAGTTAGTTAGTTTAGTTAGTATAATTAGTGAGTCTAGTTATACATTAGTTGTTGTAGTTAGGCTTGTATAGATGTTAATATTAGATTAGTTAGTATAGTTATAGTTAGAATAGGTATTAATATTACTATGGAAATTACGTACGATGATTTCGATGAATTGATGAAGTTTCTTGAAATGCTTTTGTATATGGATTGTTGTGTTAGAGTTTTTTTATGGAGAAAGTGTTAGGAGAGAAGATGGTATGTTTGAGGATATAGAAGAAGAATTGGAATGGTTTGATAAACCTCCTAGCTTCAATGACCTTTGTGTCCGTTTGAATGCAAAGTTTGGCGGTGATTTCACAATGAAGGGGAGGTTTGATACTGGGAAGACTAGGGCACACTATGTCCTCATGCCCTTGCATGACCCTGCTCACTGGTCCCGCTACACTAGGGTACTCCAAGGTTCCAATGTGCCCATGGCTGAGGTGGTGGTGGAGAATAGGTATAGGATGCAAGGTGTCCAGGACGGGCTATCCATTGACGGTGTTGGAGGTAATGAGCAAGAATTGAGGGTCGAAGGGGAAGCAGGTCAGGGTAACATGGATTTGGAGGGTCAATTGACACAGGAGCAGTTTCATTCAAGTCAAGTAGGCTGTATAAGCAATGATTTCGATGTGAACGAGTTCGAACTAGAAGAGGTGGAGGAGGACAGGATCGATGATGTAGTTAGCAGTGATTCGGACGATTCAGATGGTGACCAGGGAGATAGACATGCTATGCCCACACCGGTTGATGCCATGCCCGTACCTGTTCATGGTATGCCATTACCAGTACCAACTAAGGTTTTGCATGCTATCCAAGCTTAGGGTAGACTAGTCACAGATTTGCCAGCAGATGATACCCCCTATGATTCATGGGGCAGAATTAGCGAAGCGCAACAGTATGTTCCACCACCACCTTACACAGCGACTGAGCTTGAGCAACTAAGGTCGATGAACATACCTTTTAGGGGCGTTCTGAACGATAGGGATGTCAGCATGACGGATATGGCAGTTTGTGACACCGGTCTCTAGATGTGTAGGAAATCATTGTATGACCATGAGAAAGGCACCCTTAGGAAGGGGATGATATTCAATACAATGTCAGAGATGAAGCTCTTCCTTCCGGACTATGATGTGTATCACCATAGGCCGTACAACATCACTCATTCGGACCAGGAGTTGAGGTACCACGTGATATGCAAAAACGGTTGTATGTGGAGGTTAAATCCACAAAAGAGACACATAGATGGCAAGCGGAGGATAAGTAAAGTTGTCGAACCCCACACTTGCCTAACAAATAGGGGGAAGGAAAATCATCAGCAGCTCACAGCACGTTACCTTGCCTATCGTATATTGGGGTTCGTTGATGACAATAACGACATTTCAGTGTCTTCTTTATAACAGTCCATATCTAGATTCGTTAAGTACGATGTGAAGTGCGGAATGGCTTGGCGTGCTAAGCAAATTGCCCTGGCGATTCGTTAGGGTAGTTGGGAGGAAGCGTACAACAGGGTGCCCCGCATCTTATGTGCAATGCATTACTACAACCCTGGCTTAAAATGGTTTGTGGACACCGGAGGGATGTGTTTTCGGGACCCGTTGAGGCATGTCCTCTATCGTATGTTCTGGTCGTTCGCGCAAACGGAACATGCATTCTAGTTTTGTCGGCTAGTGTACTTGTTGATGGCACTTTCCTGACAGGAAAGTATAGGGGCACCTTGATGATGGTTGTTGCTGTTGATCCTGAGGACCAGATAGTACCCATGGCATTTTCTTTGGTA